CAGAAAGAGAGAAAGAGATCAAAGAGGGGGACCAGTGGCGATCAAGGTGGAGCTCTCAGGCTGGTAGATTGAGGTCATCTATTGCCCGTGGCTGGTGCCAGTTATCCCGACAGCAGGGTCTGGCACAGCTGAGTGCCATGGACATCGGGCATGCGCAGGGGCTGGAGACTCACAGCAGATTGAAAGCCCTGTGTTGGAGGTGTCCTCAGGTCTCCGAGTCAAACCTTTTAAAGAGATTTCCTCCCGTGACAGAATCCTTGGACCAATATAGATGCACAGTGTGTAGTTAATTGACTTTCTGAGAGAAGAAAAAATAGCCCTAACATTCTCAGTTGGTCCAAAATCTTCCTTCTGTAAAACAGCTTTCAGGACTGGAAAGGAGGATTTGGAGAGGACTGTGGAGCTTGAGCAAAGGGTGCAAATGAACTCATGTGTATGGGTGGGCAGCACCGTTGAGAGGCTTGCAGAACACTTACAGAATATTTCTCCACCTGTGATTCATTCCAGAGGAGACAAGGGGGTTAAGAGGAGGGAGTTGGGAAAGATAAGGGATCTGGATTCTGCGAGCAGCTCTGCCACTTCTCAGCTGTGACCTAGGGGAAGCTGTGACTTCCGAAGGCACCATTTCCTCATCTACAAGAAGAAAATAAAAATAGCATCTACTTCATGGAATTCCTTGGAAATGATACAGGTACCATGCTTAGCACATTTCTGGGCACCTATTTGACCTCAGATGCAAGGTAGTATCCGTTGAAGCATTTTTAATAGTATGAATAGAACTAGACCTTATGGGCCCGGCGCAGTGGCTCATGCCTATAATCCTAGCACTTTGGGAGGCCGAGGAGGGCAGGTCACGAAATAAGGAGTTCAAGACCAGCCTGGCCAACAGGGCGAAACCCCGTCTCTACTAAAAATACAAAAAGTAGCCAGGCTTGGTGGCAGGCACCTGTAATCCTAGCTACTCAAGAGGCTGAAGCCAGAGAATCACTTGAACCTGGGAGGTGGAAATTGCAGTGAGCTGAGATCATGCCATGCCATTGCACTCCAGCCTGGGAGTGGAACTCTGTCTCAAAAAAAAAAAAAAAAAGAAAGAAAAAAGAAAAAAAAGAACTAGACTTTATGACTCTTAGTAAGTGAGGACAAGCAGTTAAAGCCACTAGGATCTTAAATCTCATTAGCAAATACTGGGACAAGAAGCTACACACAGGTGGGAAGCAGGTGCTAGAATGAGAAAGACATCCTAGGGAGAAAGAGACTCCTCCAGGGTTATCTTCACCATCCTTTCCCACTGGTGAGGAAAGAGGGAAAGAGGGAGGGACCCAGGAAGTGCTGGGGGTGGGGGCAGGGGCAGGGTACAGGCTAGGCTGGGGCTGCAGCGAACCCAACTGGCTGGAATGCAGGTCGAGCAAGTTCTCCTTTCCAGAAAGGAAAATCCTTCCGGAAACTGTTCATGTTCTGAACCTCAGGACAGGGCAGGTGTTGATGGGGGCTGTGGGAGGGTAGCTCTACCAGGAAAAAGAATACCTGACCAAAAGTCCTACTGGGCTGTAGGAGGATGTGGGTGTCTGGTTATTGTTCAGGGAGAGATAACCGCCAGCTGCAGCTCATGGGCATTGTGCTACCATGGATTTCACACTGTGTGCACGATTACGTAACAACGGACAACAGCAGAGGTGCCAATTCCCTCTTCCAAGGCACCTGGTATGCTCCTTTCCTGGGACTGGGTGCAGTACTCAGGTATCACAAACCATGATGCTCCCTGCAAAACCTCACTAAGCTTCTGGAGTCCTCCCGAGGGGCAGCTCACACCCACTCCTTTGGATGGAGAAACAGCTCCTTGCTGGTCAGCGAGGACAGATGATCACCAAACACCTCTGTGGCAGCAAAGGCTTTCTGCAAATGCTGGCTCCTTGGTTCCCTTCCCCTCCCTGGCTGCCAGGGAGGGAAACCAGCTGCATCCCACAAAACAATTCCACTCAACAAACAATGCAGCGCCCCGACTACTCATAATGAGGTCTGGTTCAAATGTTGGCACACACACAACATATTAATTAAAATAACGTGCATGATAAATAATATTGGGATCCAAAGCACGGAACTCCTCTAAAATCGCAGTTGGTAATTATGCGAGCGCCTGCTAACACACACTCAGAATTTCAGTGTTGCTTACGTGACAAAATTAGTCTCAGAGAGGTGACCTTGAGAGGTGTCTTGTGTGAGTATCCTCCCGCTCATAAACTGTACGATGTTTAAATATCCCTGGAAACAGAGTATCCATTCTAATTTTCAAGCCCTAAGGGAAGAAATTCCTTAAGAGACCTCAATAATTCAATTTAATAATAATTATGTGAGTACCTGCTAGCGTAAGTCTTTCTGCTTAGCCCTGTGGATGGGGTGAGCAGAGTAGGATTCAGTTTGGGGAGTTTTGTTTGGTTTTGAGTAAGGGTCTTACTCTGTTACCCAGGCTAAGTACAGAGGGCTTGATTGTGGTTCACGTCAGCCTTAAACTCCTGGTCTCAAGCCATCCTCCCACCTCAGCCTCCTGAGTCACTGGGGATTACAGGCATGAGCCAGCATGCTCAGTATCACGTTTCCAAGGAGTAGTAACTGGTTATTGGGTATTATCTGTTCTAGACAGGATGTGCCTCACCTAGATCTTTCATGCTACAATTAAAAACCCCACACCACTAGATCTTTCATGCTACAATTCAAAACCCCACCACCACTAGATCTTTCATGCTACAATAAAAACCCCACCACCGCCTGTTTAGGATTCCAGTTCTAATGCTTCTAGGGTCTTTATTAGGTATCGGGGCTGGGGGCAGTGGTGACAATAGGCAAGTGTTCTAGAACTTCCACTCACCACCGAGCTCCTGACCTAAAGGTTCTCACCAATTCCAGCACAGCGAGGCAACTGTGCACCATCTACTGTATAGAGGCCTTTTAAATGATTACCAAAATTTGACATTTATATGGCCCAGTGCGTACAGAAATCTAACTGAGAAGGGAAGAGACCCTATTATCTTGATTCCAAAATCATTTCTATTTGTGCTTCAGTCAACATTCCAGCATCTGCTTAAATGTATTTAATTTCATTCCCTCGACAATAACCCATGTCCCACACCAGTGACCACAACTTTGGTGTCCCAGGTCCTAAATTCTATTAGTGTTCAGAAAGCCTCTTGGTTTCAACATAATGTTCAATCAGTGCAAAGAAATTAATTAAATTAAAATTATTTTTATTGTGATTTAATTAGCTTGATTTAATTACTTTGTTCACTGACTGAGCATTCTGTTGTTACAGCCAGACCCCTGCTCTCATTCGTGGCATGAATGTTCCCACAGAATTACACATTTTCTCTGTTCAGCCATTGGAGCGGGCTGGCAGAGTTTGCCAGAAACTCATGATTTATCACAATCAGCATCATCACAAATTATAGGAAGCATCCAGCAAAATGATAACTTCTAAATGAAGTGTCTGAAAGCAGGTCACACCACCAGCCTCGGCTGTTAATCCGTCATATTTCACAGTCAGCCTGACACCCCGTCTAATTCGCTGCGCCTCCCGCTTCACAGGGTGCCCGCGTGAGGGGTCCCGCTCCTGCACAGGTCTCCATTCTCTTGAACACCAAGCCTGGCCGTCCTCGGCCTCCCTGCAGATTTGACCCCATACTCCCCCTGGCCACTCAAGCTGCTGCTCCTCTGTACTTTCTTCCACTCAAAGGTTCATGAATTGAAATTCAGCATCTCCTTTAATTATGAATATAGAACAAACCACAGAGCATCAGCAGTCCCCAGCTCTTAGACACCAGAGAACACAAGATATTTGCAAAATGACCTTGCAGTTACTGTAACTATCCTGGGACACTGTCTACTCTCATCATGCCTGCAAAGCAACAGCCAGTGTGAGACCCCTCCGTAGATGACACGTGACCCCCACATTTCTTCCTGCAGGCCAGTCCACACAGTTCAATGTGCTGAGTCAAGCTGAGCAGCAGCCTGTTTTGAAACATGCTGATGTCGTTCACAAATAAAATCATCTTTAACTTGCCTATATGTGAAATGTATCGTCTTGATTCATGTGCTCAAAGCTGCACGAATTTATTTTCTTATGTTCTAGAATCTGTATTTCAATATATTTGGCTTACAGCATACGCCTATGTATTTTATTGTGTGATTTAAAACAATTGTTCTGAGAAGGAATCCATAGGCTTTGCCGGTCGGCTCTCATAGTGGAGATCTAAGCTTTTTTGTCCCTGTGTTAATTTCCTGCAGCTCCTGCAACATATTGCTACAACCTTGGTGGCTTCAAACAACAGAAATATATTCTCTTAAATTCAACATCAGCATCACTGGGGTGAAATCAAGGGCCTCCTCCATTCAGAGGCTCTCGAGAAGCCATCCCCAGCCTCTTCCAGCTGCTGGTATTTCCACAACCCTCCCCGTGTGGCTGTGTCACTCCAGACTCTACCTCAGGGCCCACATGGCCACCTCATCTGTGTGTCCTCTCTCTCTCTCCTATGATAATGCTTTCGATGGCATTTAGGGCCATCAAAAGGAAGCTCTCATCTCAAGGTTCTTAACTTAATCACACCTACAAAGAACCTTTTTCTCTTTTCTTTTTTTTTCTCAGATAGCGTCTCGCTCTATTACCCAGGCAGGAGTGCAATAGTGCAATCTCGGCTCACTGCAACCTCTGCCTCCAAAGTTCAAGCGATTTCTCCTGCCTCAGCCTCCCCAGTAGTGGGGATTATAGGCATGTGCCATCATATCAGCAAATTATTGTATTTTAGGTGGAGACAGGGTTTCACCAGTTGGCCAGACTGGTCCCGAAACTATTTTAATGAGCTTTGTCCAAAGCTTATTAAAATAATTAGTTAAAGATCAAGGTAATGGTTTAAAAAAAAAAGACAAAGCCTTGTAAGTTTTCACCAAGACCTAGAAGAGGACGCAGGCCTGTTTGTTCGCCTCTAGATGAATAAAATACATGCTTTGCAAACCTGGCCATTGAAACTTGTGCAGTCCTTGAGCCGGGAAGATCTCACAGGGCTTGGGTCAGCAGTTCTACTTCTTCCTCCTCAGCCTCTCATCCTGCCCCAAGGGTGTTGTATTTATGTCTTCTACAAAGTGTTGAATGAGGAACTTATGCCACTGACCAGAAGTGAAAAAGGGCAGAGACCATGTCTTTTTCAATTAAATAGAACAAGAGGAAGTGAGTGTTCACTTCAACCTGATACACTCAGGCTACTGATTAGAACAAAATCCCTACAGTAAGGTGCATTGGATCAGAGTTTATTTTCGAAAAGAGCTCTACGATCACCTCTTCTGGACCTCGTGAAAAGGATGCATGGGTTGAATCCAGGCAGGCTGACAGTGTGACAAGCTCTCCCCAGAAATCAGACCTGCCTTTCCACCCCAGCTACAACTCTTCTTGTGTGATTTCATTCACAAAAATTGCATTTTTCTAAGCACCATGTTCTCACCTGGTGCTGATGGACCATGTGGGCTCCTTAAATGCAGGACTTGCTCTTTTCTGTGTGCAGATTTGAGCACATTGCCTGGCACACACACACAAAAAAAACCCTCAGTACATAGTTGTTTACTTGAGTTGAATGTCTGCCTTACCTGACTCAAGACTCAAAGCAGATACCGGGGGGGATGTCTCTAGAGATGATTCTGAAATGCTCAATAAGACAGAAGGTATCAGTATTGCTGCAGATACTGTTGCTCTTGTACTAAGTCATTTCTCAAGGTCCCTTCCAGACATATGATATTTTTGTCTCTGTTAAAATTAGCTTCAGAGACTGCACATCTGTGTTGGAAACGAGTAGAAAGAGGTCTTGGTTACACATGCTTTTCAATTCAGAGGGCAGGCCCCAGCGAGGGGAGCTATGTGCAAACCTTGGTGCTCATCTTCAGGCTGGAAGGGACCTTTGAGACTGTCTAGTTCAACAACGTCCCTTTACGGATAAGAAAACAGAGTTGTTCAATGTCACCTGGCTTGCTGGCACAAATAATTCAGGCAACAAGAACCCAGTTCTACTGGATGCTAATCCAACGCTCTCTCCATTCTCTTACACTTGTTCGTTAACACAAGGTCTACACTTGGCTTTGTAAAACTAGCTCAATGTGCTTGCTACCTCATAGCTAAGTTTTCCAAGTTGGCAAAATCTAGAATATGTAGGTGACTCCTCTCGCACAGGCTGGATTGTGAGAATCCACTAATAAAACCATTAGAAGGTATTCTGAAACAGTGTGGAATGGTTTTAGCTTCCTTGATTTCAGTGTTGTAGTACACCATTTTTATTCCCTTCTTTCCTTCCCTGTATTTTTTTAGTTATTTCTTAGTGTTTACCCTGGGGATTACAATTAATATCTTAAATATATTACAGCCTAGTTTCAACAAACCAACTTAATTTCAATAATATACAAATACTCTGCTCATATATAATTCCATTCTTCCTTGTTTACATTGTTATTCTCACAGAGTACATCTTTATATATTGTATGCCCATTAACATACACTTAAAATCATTGTTTTATGCATTTGCCTACTCAATTATCTAGAAAAAGGAAAGAAGATACATACCAAATCAAAAACCTGATGCTGGATTTTATATTTACATATGTAGTTAGTTACCTTAACTGGTACTCTTTCTTTTTTTCCTTATGGCTTCAATTTACTATTAATATCTACTGACCTTTCTTTTCAGCCTGAAGGATTCCCTTTAATATTCTTGTACCAGGCCTACTGGTAATGAGTTCCCTCAGCTTTTGTTTTATCTGGAAATATTTAGTTTTTCCCTTATTCTTGAAATATAGTCTTGCTAGATATACAATTCCTGGTTTCCAGTTTTTTCTTCCAGGACTTTACATAAGGAGTTCTGGTCTCCATGATTCCTGAGGAGCAATTGGCTGTTAATCTTAATGAGAATTCCTTATACAGAATGAGTTGCTTCTTTCTTGTTGCTTTCAAAGTTCTCTCTTTGTCTTTGGGTTTCAACAATTTTACTATTAAGTGTCTCTGTGTATATTTCAAAGAAATATATGCCTCTTGGAGCTCATTGAACTTGTTGAATGTATGCATTCATGAATTTTCTTAAATTCAGAAAGTTTTCCAGCCATTATTTACTTAAATATTTCTTTCTTCTTTTTTCTCTCTTCTCCACCTGAAAATCCTAAATTTGTATGTCGGTGTGTTTAATGATATCCAACATGTCAGTCATACTCAGTACATTTTGCTTCATTCTTGCTTCTTTTGCTCCTTAGACTGGATAGTTTCAATTGTCTCAAGTTCATTTAGCCCATTCAAATCTGCCACTGAGCACCTCTCGTGAGTTTTTCATTTCATTTGTTGTACTTTTCAACTTTTCTATTTGATTTTTTAAAATAATTTTTGTCTCTTTGTTGATATTCTCATTTTGTTCATACATTATTTTTCTGACTTCCTTTAGTTCCTTTGGCATGACTTTAACTCATTTCACATATTCAAGACTGTCAATTTACTGTCTTTGACTAATCATTTCTGTGTCTCAGATTCCTCAGGGATGATATCCATCAAATTATTTTTTCCTGTGAATAAACCATATTTTCCTATTTCTTTGTATATTTTATATATTTTTTTGTTAACAACTGGATATTTTGAGAGACATGGTATGGTAACTACAGAGATTTAATTCTCCCACACCTTGGGAATTGACAAATCTTGATTTTTGAGGACTAGAACCAACCACTTCAAACTTTTCTAAACTAATTTTGCAACTGAATATTACTTGTTTTTTGTGGTCAGTGAAGTTTTTGCTCCATTATCTCTGCAGTCACACAATGACTGACAGATATTTCCATACTGTCGACCTCCCAACAGTTTCTGAGGGGATGGAGGGGTGATACTAGCAGGTAGGGAATAGATCCTATCTCTTTAAATCCCCTCAGGAGCTGCTTTAGCCCATGGGGTTTGAAGCAACGGGCAACCTCTGTGCCAGCCCCTACACAATCAAAAGCGGTAAGCAGCAATCAAAACATACAACTCTAATTTTTGGAGGATAAAATTTTTGTTGACCCCCTGGGCTGCAGAAAGCCACATCAGGAACCCATCCACTGCCCCCATGGCAAGCAGATGCAGGACCAGGAGATGAGAGTGGTAGCCACGGTTAGGCAAAAAGCTGAAATTCACTGAATACTGCCAGCCTCTTTACCAAGCTCTCACCTGAATGCTCAACTGTTATTTTAGACTTCAGAGTTCCAAAATAGTTGCTTCAGACAGTTCCTAGCTGATGCCTAAGTCCTAAATTCCTAGAGCTTCCTACTCCACCATCTTCCCATGACATTACCCAGTAGTGCTTAATTTTGATTTAGAAACAAGATAGACAACAGGGCTGGTGGTAAACACCTAGTCCCAGCTACTCAGGAGACTGAGGCAGGAAAATTGCTTGAGCCCAAGAGGTGGAGGCTGCAGTGAGCCATGATTATGCCACTGCACTCCAGCCTGGGCAACAGAGTGAGACCTTGTCTCCAAAAAGAAAAAAGAAAGGAAAGAAAGAAAAGAAACAAGATAGAGAAAGTAATTATTAATTCAAAGTTCAAAGCACATGTTTTTCCCAAACATGAAAAAGCATTTCTTTGATGTGTGTCTTGACTTTCTCACAGTCTCTCATCAGGGATTAAACAACCCAGTGACTTTTGTCTGCCATCTTTAAGTCACAGATATACTAAAAAATCCCTTTTAGAATACGTAGGAAAAGTATAAAACATGCTGGTAACTTGACTTGGAAAAAAATGTTCACTTTCTCATAACCTCTCATCAGGGATTAAACCACCCAGTGACTTTTGTCTGCCATCTTTAAGTCACAGATATTCTAAAAGATCCCTTTAGAATAGGCAGGAAAAATATAAAACATGTTGATGACTTGGAAAAAATTTAAAGCAAGAAGATCAGAATTGAGAGATCAAAGTGATGTCACTCAGTGAGGTACATCTTCTAGGGAATCAAAAAACTAGTATTCAAAATTAAGGAAAGTTTGGTCAAGAGAAACATTGGGTCCCAGGGCAGAGAAGCCACGGCCTCCCTATACTTATGGTATAAACGCTTCACTTAGCACTGGGCTACTGGTGACTTGCAGCATCTCCATCTTGTGGTTCTCCTTTGGCCATTTAATTTGCATATCATTTAAGTTCTGCTGGGACATGGGTTCTTTACTCCAGCACAACGACCGCCCTCTTAAGAACAAGCATAATTTCTTAAATATTATAATTGAGGTGAAAGGAGAAAGGCAATGGAGGAAAAGGGGATGGGGAAGGATGTCTTAGTTTTCTAGAGCTGTCATAACAAATTAACACAAACTTGGCAGCTAAAAACAAGAAATTATTTTCTCACAGTTTTGGAAACCAGAAGTCCAAAATTAAGGTGTCAACAGGGCCACTGTCCCTCTGAGGGCTCTAGATACTTCCTCGCCTCTTCCAGCGTCTGGGGGCTCCAGGCACTTTTTGTCTTATGGCAGCATAACTCCAACCTCTGCCTCCATCTTCACGTGACCTGCTCCTCCGTGTGTCTGTTTGCCAGTTCCTGTCTTTGATTGATAGGGATACCAGTCAGTGGATTTAGACCCATCCTAAAATGAGGATAATCTCATCTCAAGACCTATACTTAGGTGCAACTACCAAACCCCAGTTTTTAAAAATAATAAACATTCGCTTTCTCATACATGACATGCAATTTTGTCTTGTATCTGTGCCATCAAGTAGGTAACATTATTGCTCTTTTACAAAGAGTGAAATGGGGCTCAAAAAAGTAATACAGGGTTATGCAGGTACTCAGCTGTGGAGCTGGGAATCAGACACGGGTTCTAAATCCTGTGTTGTTTTTTTTTTCTCTCGTCTATGATGTCTTCCTTTTCACTCCTGCTATTTCCTTTTCCTATGTTTTCCCCATTCTAAGGACACTCACAGGATTGGGATCTGCACCCATTACCCTATGATCCATGGTTCTCAGCAGTTCCAGAACGATCCAGGGAGCTTTTCTCAAAGCTGATGACTGGGTTCCAGGCCAGGCCAATCAAATCCTTACCTCTGAGGGTGCGCCCTGGACATCAGCACTTCATCAAAGCTCCTCCAGCTGATCCTCATGTGCAGCCAGGGTTGAGAGCTACTGCTGTAGCTGTTTGTCTCTCTTCTAAGCCATAAAAAAGAAAGTATTCACTCTTTCAAATATCATCAAATCTTTCAAGTAATTCTTAATAAACCGGTTGACTAAAACCAAAAACAAAGTGGCCAATGAGACTTAAGCTGACATGTTTAGTGTTCCTCCTTTCCCAAACTCCACTGAAAGGATCGGAGAGTCATACTAAGTGGGGAGAAAACCCTATCACATCCAGGTAAAGTAAGCATGGTATCAACGGGTTAGAAACTTTGAGGAAGTCAATATTTGTGTAATTTGGTGCCTGTGAAGGGATGGATCAAAGTATTGGCAACCCCTGTTCAATACTCATGAAGAAAGACCCTGTGGGAATCAAATAGGTGATTCCCCCAAGATCTGGGACGTTCTCAAACTTGAACTGGAAAAGGATGGGACTGTGGAGGGTGGCGAATGAGAGCAGTTTGGCAGCTTCACTGGAGCCTCACAAACAGAGCTGCTGGCCTCCAGGAGGGACTGGTGGAGGCGGGGTACCTGCAGGAGTGCCCCCATCTCGCCTCCCCACAGAGGCTTAAGAAAAACTATTTGAAAAAGCAGTGAATTCCTCAGGGAAAACTGCCTTCCAACAACTTCTCCCAGCTGAATAGATCCCTACACAAGGAAAATAAAACTGCCAAATAAATAAAAACATAAAATTTCCCCTTTGGGAGTAAGAGAACAGGAACCAACACAATCACTGACAAAACCATCTCAAGTTTCCAAACTGAATAAATATAGATCTTTTCCAAAGGAAAAAGCAAGTCAAAAGAATAAAAATGAAATCACGGAACGTCTTCTTACGGTGGGCAGCTAGTCAGACATGAACAGAGCAGGAGAGGGCCTCCACACCGCCCCCACCAGGAGTGTCAGGTGACCATCAGGGGATGGGGAACACCTGAAACTGACCATCAGCAGCTTCCCGGAAAGATCTCAGTAGCTGGCAAGTGAACTCGAGCATAAGCATTATGAGGCAAAGGAGTTTAACTCATATATGACCTTCTGCGGGCATTCCACAGGAAAAGGGATGCAAGACACCAGAAATATGCCAACATATAAAACCCCAAGTCAAAAGGCAAACCCCACACTTGACCTCCAAGATGCCCCCTTGGCCCTCTTCCAAGTGTACTTTACTTTCTTTTCATTCCTGCTCTAAAGCTTTTTAATAAATGTTACTCCTGCTTTAAAACCTGCTTCAGTCTCTTCTTCTGCCTTATGACCCTCAGTTGAATTATGTCTTCTAAGGAGGCAAGAATTGAGGTTGCTGCACACCCATACAGATTCTCCACTGGCAACTTGGATACCCGTCATCAAATACAGGATGGAAAGATTTAGTACAAAAAAAAAATTGAAAACTCAAAGCAAACATTTATCTCTGAAATATACTTATTTCCAATAGCAGAAGATAAGTTTAACACAATCTTCAATTTGATATAAGGAGAAAAACAATTGGTAAATATTTGTACTCAATGAAAATCATGCTCACTAAACATTTTTTTAAATCAACTTTATCCTGGGCAGTATGGCAGATTAAATTTTCTGAAGATGGCCAATCTTTTGACCCACATGCTCATTTGCAATGTGTCCTTTCTCTTCCAACCCAAGGAGGAGTCTCTTTCTTCATTTCCTTGAATCTGGATAGGCCCCCATGACTTTTCTAAACCATAGAAGCAACACTGTACCAGCTCTGGGCATAGCCCTCAATCACCCTGGCACTGACAGCATTTGCCTCCTGCCCACTAGAAGTCAGAACCCAATGGGTTCATCTTGCCTGCTGCCTGAACACAGCTGATTTATCAAGATGGGAATTCCAACAGAGAGAGTTTAATACACATAACGCCAGCTAAATGAGAAACCAGAGTTTTATTATTACTCAAATCAGCCTCACTGAATTTTTAGAGGCTGGGGTGTTTCAAGGATAGCTTGATGCAGGGGGCTAGGGAAGGGGAAATGCTGATTGGTTGGGGATGCAATCATAGTGGTGTGGAAAACGGTCCTCCTGCACTGAGTCTGCTTCTGGGTGGGGACCACAGAGGAGTTGCTGGTCCAAGTAGGGCCATCTGGTCATCAGAAATGCAAAAGCATGAAAAGACATCTCAAAAGGCCAACCTTAGGTTCTACAATAATAATGTTATTTATAGGAATAATTGGGGAATTTGCTAATCTCATGACCTCCAGAATAATGGCTGGTAATCACTTAACCACACCTACATCTTAAGGGAATTCAAGCCCCTCTCATCCTCCTAACCTGGTGTCTTTTCATTAGCTTGAAAATTAATAAACTTATTCATTTTAAGTTTTTAAGTTTAGTTTGGGGAAGGGCTATAATTATTTAAAGTATAAACTAAATTCTTCAAAGAGTTAGTTTGGCCCACACCCAGGAGTGACCATGGGTACTTTGGAGGTTAAAGCAAGATGGAGTTGGTTAGGTCAGATCTCTTTCACTGGCATAATTTTTTCACTGTTATAATTTTTGCAAAGGCACTTTTATAACCACATTAAGACTACCATGCTGTGAGAAGCCCAAGCCACACAAAGAGGCCCTAATGGGTGAGACAGCATAGAGAGAGAAAAAAGACAGATACAAAGACAGAGACAGAGAGGCTGAGGCACGCCAGCCATGACAATGACAAAGCCAGCATAGAAGTGAACTCTCCACCCCAGCCGCAGCAGCTCAGGCCATGTGATCAGACCCACCACCCAGCCAAGCTTACCAAATTCCTGACCCTAAGAATCATGAGCATATACAACTGCTTCCAAGCCATAATGTTTTGGGGTAGTTTGTTACACAAAAATAGAAAACTGACAGAGGCAGCCAGTAGCAGACTGGGGTATCTTAAAGAGAAACAGGGAAGGTGGGGTTGGGAGGGTGATGTATACTTCCTGATTGTTGAAATCCCCAACTGTCTTCTCAATTCAGCTCTCAGAATGCCAGCAGCCAAAATATTACCCTCTGGGCAGGAGACCAGCAAATTCTCCTCTGGGAAATATGACCAGCTCTAGAAGACTTAAAGCAACTTACTCAGGGATTCCTCACAGTCACCCTGCTGAGAAGCTCATTTTCACAGGACCCCAGCTATAGGCAGGCAGCCCCCATGCCAATAAACACGTGTGAACAACCCAGGTTTACTCTGCACCAGAGGAAGGCTTTATCATGAAAGAGAGCGACCAAATACACACAAAAAAAGGGGGAATTTGGAAGAAACAGACACTATGCAGGCAAAGGAAAAGTTAAACCCAAAGTGATCACTACTGTCCTTGGGGACAAAGATGTGGAAAATACTGCACCCACAAAACAAGAGCAGGATGCTATTAAAAAGGAAAAGTAGGCCGGTGCAGTGGCTCACACCTGTAATCCCAGCAGTTCAGAAGGCTGAGGCAGGCGGATGACTTGAGCCCAGGAGTTCAAGCCCAGCCTGGGCAACATGGCAAAACCCCATCTCTACAAAGTATACAGAAAAATTTGCTGGGTGTGATGGTGGGCACATGCCATCCCAGAAACTTGCAAGGCTGAGCTATGGAGGTTGAAGCTGCAATAAGCTGTGATTATGCACTCCAGCCGGGGTGACAGACTCTGTCTCAAAAAAAAAAAAAAAGGAAAAGTCATCAAAGAAGAAAACAGTTGTTAGAAATGTAAAACATAATAGTAAACATAAATAACTCAGCAGAAGAGTTGGAAGATAATTTGAGGAAACCTTTTAGAAAGGAGATTCCTGCTGACAAGTGGATTAAAAAATAAAAAATAATAAAAAGAAAGGAGAGCAAAGGACTGAGATGGAAAATAAAAAAGACAAGAAAATTAGAAGACCAGTGCTAACAATTATCTGTTTCATCTAAATAATAGAGTTCCAAAGAGAGAGAACTAAAGAAATAGAGGGGATGAAATCACCAATAAAATAATTTAAGGAAATTCCCAGAATTGAATGTCATGACATACACCAAGTCACATCATTATGAAAGTTCATAGCATGGGTGACAAAAAAGAAGATTCTGCAAGTGGGAGTGGAGATTTCAAAAGAAAGGTCATGTACAGAGGTTAAGAAATCAAATGACTTAAAACTTCTCAACAGCAATACAAGGAGCTAGAAGACAAGGGTTCAATGGCTTCCAAATTCAGAGAAATTATTTCCATCCTGGACTCACCTACCTAGACAAACTGCACATCAAGGGCATGTGATTTTCAGACGAATTTTCAGACATAGAAGGTTGCAAAAAATTAACCTCCCACATACTTTTCTTAGGAAACTGGAGTGCATGTTTTATGAAACAAAGGAATTAACCAAGGAGGAAGAAATGAGATCCAGGAAACAGACTTCAACACCATAGAACAATAAAGGGAATTCCCAAGACATTCATGAGGAAGCATCTCAGGATGACAGCGACCAGTCCCGGGGAGAGCTCAGCACAGGGCCCAAGGGCAGACCCCTCAGAAGATGAGGAGACAGAATGTCGGATGTCAATCCACTTCTCAAGAGGAGATCCAAATCACAGGCATAAAATCAGAGTTGGTAAGTGCATGGAAAACCAAATAAATAAACCAAAAACTGCTCTAATCCAGAGCAGCCCGACCCAGCAGAACCAGAATGCGAGCTCCATGTTTACTTTTAAATGTTTTGTAATTACATTTTTTAAAAGAGCTCAAATTCATTTTAATAATACAGTTGCTTCTTGGTGTCTAGCGGGGGAGATTTGTTCCAGGACCCTCTCAAATACCAACATCCATGGATGCTCAAGCCCCTTACATAAAGTGGTATAATAATTGCATAGAACCTATGCACATCCTGTTGTATATTTTAAATCATCTCTAGATTACTTACAATATCTAATGCAATGTAAAGGTTCTATAAATAGTTGTTATACTGTATTGCTTTTTTATTTGTTTTATCTTTTACTTTTTCCCCTAATATTTTTGATCCTAGGTTGGTTAAATTCATGGATGCTGAATCCATGGATAGGGAGGGTGACTGTGTGTTATGTTTAACCCAATATATCCAAAATATTAT